ATATTCCAACAGCAAATCTGGAAAATTTGTTAAAATTTAAAGGTGTGTACATAGGTTTCAAGTTAGTAATTAAAGTATTTAATTTGTTGGTTCAACTACTTAATATAATGGGTAAGCTAATTGTGTCTTTCTACTTCCAAATTTTATTCATGTCCATCCTCTTACTAACAAGTTGTTCAATTTCGTCCCTTTTCTTCTCTAATAGCACTAAACGTAGTTCGTATACTCTCTCCATTTTGTTCAATGTAATGCAGCTAGGATTAGTGGGGCCACGTGCTTTATGTTTGCTGTTAAATTAGATCATCTATTCTTTCTCTGGACATTTTCCCCCAAAAATTTCCCCTAATCCATCACCATCGTAGCTCAGCATGATAAGAACCTATTCTACAAAATGCCCAACACGTGGTAACAAACTATTCTAAAAAAAAAAACTTTAAACAAGTCCAACACTAAATGGTTTAATTATCACTCCTTTGATGAAAAAAGTTAAGATATTAAGTTCTAAATTCAATACTCAGACGCCACTTTTCATTTCAAAAAATTTCCTAAGTTCAAAAAAAAAAAATTTAACAAAAATATTAAATCAAACCTTATTGTTTCGAATTTTCCATATGCTACAAAGACACAAGAAGGTAGTATCTTTTGCAGAGAGATGTCCAAAGAATCTATGACAATTCATACAATTTTTAGACCCCACCTCCACAAAGAGCATCAGATTCTTGAAGCCCTTCCACACTAAATCTATTTCCACGCAACCCTTCACATACTATTCAATTCTCTGCAGTTTCTCATCTGATTTATCTCTATTTCTACATTCTCATCTGGATCAAAATCAAGGGGAAAAATATTTCGGTGGGAAAACTAACCGTGTACTGCGTGGGCGATTTCCAGGCAAGGCAGCGACGGCGACGGTAGTTAACAATTTGTCTGGCCGATGTTGTGATGTGCAGCCGTTGGAGTATGCTTTTGGGGCTCAGATCTACAAGTCAGAACATGGAATACGCACTGTAAATCCAAGGATAACCACCATCAAAATCTACCAAGAAAGCTGGAAAATTACCGTCTATGGCGTGGGGATTTGGAATCCAGGACATGCGTGGGTCAGCCACTCACGGCAGCATGAACGGGAAAAGCTAACCTAGCCGGAGAAGAAAGCAGATCAGGGAGGAAAAACAGAAGAAAATAGGGAAACCTAGCCGGAGAAGAAAGCAGATCGGGGAGGAAAACAGAAGAAAATAGGGAAAGTGAGCGAGGAGGCAGGGGACGTGGGGAATAACCCAGCATAATCGACAGCCAAAGCTGACGGTGATACAGAACTACAAAAATGGCGTCGTTTCCAATTTAAGCGTCAACAATGCTGCCGAATATTGAAAAACATTACCGACAGCCAAATTTCTGTCGATTATGTATATATTATCGACAGAAAAGCCGCCGATTATAACTACGCCTGGCCCTCAATCTGCAAATATAATCGGCAATTCATTATCATCGACAGTCATTTTGTCGACTATGGTATTTAAACCACAGTGAAAATATTTGTTTTTCTCCGAGAATGAGATATTGGATTGTCTTTTTTTTATCAAATCTTTTGACCAAAATAGGTAGTTAAGTCTTCTGCTTATTGCTCTAGTTCTTGCTTTTTTATGTTTTCTTTTCTACTTTACTTAATTGTTTCAAACTTTTGATCTACAATTTATATAAATAATATTATATACAATTTTTACCAATTAATTAGCTCTATATTTTAAATATATATAAAAACATATAATTAAACCATATAAATATAAAAAGATAAACTAATATCATAATTAAAGTGTCAT